CAGAACAGCGTCGCACTTTCTTTTTAAGATTATCCCTTTGACTTTCCCTTCCCCCCCCCCCCCCACACACACACTGTAATTTCATTGTCACTTGTTTCTGCAGGGACTGGAAGCAGATGTGTCAATAACCAAAGAAGTTATTCTTGCCATATTTCCGGCCCTACTGGAAATCTCACTAGAGATCCTGCTCTTGTGAGATTCCCAACCCAGTTTTGCAGACCCAAAGGTTTTAAGTATTGGAGAAGCATCTGAACACTTGGGTAGCTCCCTGGACCTTTTGAAGTTCATGAAAATGTATATATAGTACATTGGCCTTGTGTGTGGTCATGTCTCACTCTGGTTGTCTATCTGGCCGACTGAGCAGTTGGTTCCACATTGCGTTGTGGGAGGTGTAATCTTTCCAGCAGCCTTGCTCATCAGAGACAATGGGGGCCCAAATGACAACTCCCATAAAGCAATGCACTAGAGAAATGCAGTTTAATTTTTTTAAACTGATTTCTATTCTATGCAGGTTCTTATACCATACTTATTACCATAGTATCTGAAAGTTGTAGTATCTAATTTGAAAGGAAGCCTTTCTGGTTAAATTCATTTAAAAATATTCCAATTCAGGTCAAACTGACGCTAAACAAAATATTGCATTTAGATTTTCCTAACAGAAAATTGAAAATTTTCAGCAAAACTTCCCATGGAATTCAGCAAAATTTCCCACAAAAAAATTCAATTTTGGAGACACCGCATTTTACATTGGAAAATCATAGTGACAGTTCCTGATCAGCTGTATCCCTTCCTATAACAAAATACAATGTACTTATGAGCAAACCTGTGCTCTTTTAGCTCAGACCATAGACACTGGCCTTTTTGATGCTGTGGGTCCTGGATTCAATTCCTGTTGTCGACCACAGCTCTGTATGGATATGGCCATGGTTTGTTACATGGTTTTGTTACATGAGATTTCAGCAGCTCTAGGGTGGAAAAAAACTGCAATCATTTTAAACCAGCCCCATGATGTGCTGTGATGTTAGAATTCTTTAGGAAAATCAAATTGCCACACACTAAGTCACCACTGTAGGGAAAAGCCCCTCAATATTGCATCCCATTCAGCAGTATGCAGCCAGGTCCCTGCCTCCTTCTGCCCCAAGGTGATGCAATACTGAGATTTTCTTTGCGGTTCACCTTTAAGGAGTCAGCCACCTTAAGGTAGGAATTTGCTGCCAGACTTTTCTTGGCATGGTTCCTTTTAGCATCTCATCACACGAGGCCTCGTGGTGTATGTGCTCATACACGTAGCAACATTTCAAACCAGATATTTTTGTGCTGACTGCTTCAGAAAAGCTGCTTTCAGGCACTTTTACAGTCAGAAACACAGCTCTGTATTAATGGACCCTGCTCACTCAACATCTGGCATCTGCTCACTGTCTGGCACTGCTGCTACTTCCCAAGCACAAAGATGCTGGTACTCCTGTTAGCCCTGCAAAGCCACTGCAGGTATAGGAGAGCAGCTGGGTTCTGAGCACAGAATGGCAATGATGTCAGTGGTAGAGAGAACACAGAATGATTTTTTCATCCCATGTTGAATAGGGATCTGGGAGCTAGGGAAAAATATATTTTGGCCTCTAATGTGATGTGTTGTGAGAGTCACCTTGAGACACCAGAGATGGGGCCTCTGGGTCACTTGCCAGGATCATATAGATTATATCTCACCTAATCAATTCCCTGCCATTTCAGGGAGCCTCGCACATTGGTGCACCTTGGTCCCTCCTGTTCTCTGCCTGTGGTGCACAATAGTTTAGTCTCCTGAGGGCGGAGATACTGTGCTTTCAATCTGATTGTTAGCTCGGTCTGGGGGTAGTCTTTAGAGCCCTGTGATCTACAGGAGGTCAGACTAGCTGATCTGGACGTCCTGTCTGGCCTTAAACACTACAAGATGGAAACCACCAATGGACCCTTGGCAGCCCCTTTTCCAGCTAAGGCCCTGAGCCTGGCCATGGATACATCTGCCCCCAACTCTCAGCACAGGAGCAGTGCCCCTGGCATCAGGGGCACTTAATGGTAAGCACGTGTGGAAAGCATTTTCAGGCTTGGTGCCCAAAGCCAAGTTTTTAATAATGCCTTTACTGAGCTATGTCCATTTACAGCAACTGTGTGATGGCAAAACCAGGAGGTTGTAGTGCTTTTACTCAAAGGCATTGTTATGGGAAGAGGAGAGAGGCACCTAAAGAAGAGGGCATATGGCCCACCAAGCCAGCTGTATGCAGACCATCCTCCATTTGCATCATCCCCTCCTCCAGTAATTAATCTCAGTGCTTCACTAGACTTCCCCAGTGAGTAGGCCTGGCTCCTCAAAGGCATGTAGCTCCTGCTGAAACCAATGGGAGTTCTTCTTGTGTGGCATCTCCTTGTGGCAGCGGGTCACAACCATGGCAGCCCATTCTGTGCAATCCTCTACCAATTTCCTTGTGGATGAATGGTCCTTTTGATCCGCCCAGGATACCACATTGTCCATCCAAGATCTCCTTTTTCTGCCCCCTGTTCTTCTGCCACCAGTGCCCCTTCAGCACACATTGCCCACCGAACCCCTTAAAATGTGCCCTGCGCACTGAACTTTTCTTTTCATAAGATCTCTGACAAGCATTTGCTGAATTCCAGTAATCTCCAATACTTTTCCCTTGGTGACATGGTCTGTCCACGGTCTATAACACCACAGCTGGAAGGATTGTAGTTTCATTATTATCAATTGTTTGAATGTCCATGTTTCACAGCCGTAGTTTAACAAAGACCGAAAATGAGTTTTTAAGTGTCGGAAATTACCCATCAGCTTTATGTCCCTACTCAGCAGATGTTTATTCTTTGGAAATCAATGGGAGACAGGCATCTAAATGCTTTTGAGGATCTGAGCCTTTGTCCCTTTATGTTGCCTTTTGCCTGTCTGTGTTTCCTGTTTGCTCGTAGGGTAAGTCTACACTGTAATTAAAAACCCGCAGCTGGCCCATGCCAGCTGACTCAGGCTCAGGCTGTGGGGCTGTTTAATTGCGGTTTAGATGTGGGTTCGGACTGGAGCCTGGGCTCCAGGACCCTGTGAGGTGGAAGAGTCCCAAAGTTGGGGCTCCAGGCCGAGCCTGATGTCTACACTGGAATTAAACAGCCCCTTAGCCTGAGGACAGCAAGCCCAAGTCAGCTGGCACAGGCCAGCTACAGGTGTATAACTGCAGTGTAGGCATCCCCTTAGCTTCCCTGTAACCACACCCCGGTGTGTGATTCCATGAGCACTCACAAGCTAAGTGGATTTGATCTGTATTTAGATAGAAGACCTGTAAAGAGCATATCATACTGTAGGTCAGTGGGCCCCAAACTGTGGGGCATGCCCCCCAGGGAGCACGAAAGCATGTTCGGGGCGGGGGGGCACACAGCAGGGCCCAGGCTAGCCCCGGGGGGCAGGGAGGGAGCGCCACCCAGCCCCACTCTGCCACCCAGCCCTGCTCCAGTCCCAGCTGCAGCTCCACTCCACCCTCAGCCCACCTCTGGCCCCAGCCGCAGCACCGCTCCACTCCCTGCTCCACCTCCAGCCCAACTCTGCTCTCATTCCCGCTCCGCCCCGAGGCCAGCTCCCCCTCTAGCCCCAACTCCTCCCCATCCCCAGTTCCGTCCCGGCTCCACCTTCTGAGCCAACTGTGCAGTAATGGGGGGGCATGGACAGAGTACATTACTGGCAAGGGGGAGGGGTGACAGGAAAAGTTTGGGCACCACTGCTGTAGGTGCTGCTGACTCATGAGGTGGCTCCTTTCTTTCTTATTCAGTGCCCCAGCAAAGTGCTGGGGACTCAGTGCTGCTGGAGGTGTCATCTCTTGTTGAGCCATAAAACCAAGATCCCTTTTCTCTGTCATCCAAGATCTCCTGGCTGTTCTCATAAGAACAGTGGGGTTACCACACTCTGGCCAGGGTAACTACATTCTTCCTCCCAAACACTCCCGGCAGCTTCAGTTGGATACGGTTTACTTCCTCACTTCCTGTCCTAAACAGCTGTACAGTGTTGCCGTGCACAGCTGTGGTCTAAAGGGGCTGTACTGTGAGTGGGACTTAATGCATTAAAAGGGTGAAATTCATCCCTGGGCAGAGGTCAAGCAGCACCGGTTAAGGTCCATATACGCCTTATTTTGAGGACTGAAGGGGAATTTAAATGCACAGGGGTTAATTTCTCATCTTTGTAAGGCACTGTGTGATCTGAGGACAAAAGTGGCAACAGCAATGCGGACATATTAATTATTTATTATGATTATTTTCATTAGTTTTGAAATCGCCTGCATTTGGGAAAACTCTCTGAGCCCCAAGGGAGTGAAATGACTTTGTTGCAATTTGCCAGGGCTCCTGTATTGGATTACACAAAGGAACATGCCAACTAAAGTGGCATGAACATCTCGGGGCTAATATTTAGAGAGCTGCAAGACACAGAGGGGAGGGTAAGCAATTCAAACCTGACCTCCAGTCAGCTTTCTTGGGTTGTGTCTGAACGTAGTGCAGGGACTCTCAATGCACATCTGAATGGAGAGATCCCTTCAGCTCCAAATGGTTAATACTGCGCTTCCTCCTATTGCAAGGGAAAGCGTTGGGCCAGATCTTCTCTGTTGATGTAAATCAGTGTAGCTCCAGAAGCCCATGGGCTGAAGCCAATTTACAGCAGCTGAAAATCAGTTCCTTTCACTTTCAAGGGGCTTTATTCATGTGAGTAAAAATTTCAGGATGTAACTCCATATTGTCCGTTCTCTGACAGGCTGTGGGTATGTGGCACCTGACAGTTTCCTGGTGAATGTAATGATGGAAGAAGGTGCCAGAATTTTGTTAATTATTAGCATTATCATCCCGAGCACTTACTGTAGAGGGGAGCCTTTTCCTGGTCTCGGTACTCTGTCATTATGGCACAGGATAGAGAAAAGGGCAGGTTTGTTAAGGAAACCTACAGATGCCGGAGTTGTCATTATCCTATGAATGCTCCTTTGTGACAGGATGAATATAAACCTGACAAAGATCTCTCTGAAGTGGATCTGAAAAACGCCATCCGAGTTCACCATGCCTTAGCCACCAAAGCCTCTGACTACAGCAAAAAATCCAACGTGCTCAAGCTGAAGACAGCCGACTGGAGAGTTTTTCTCTTCCAAGCTCCGTGAGTACCATAGCGCAGTCCAGGTGACTCCCATTTGGTTGATTTTATTCCTTATGTGAACAATACCAAGCTGGGACTCAAGGCTGGTTTCTGGGAACCAGCAGTTTTGGGGGGGTGTAATAAGGGATCAAATTGAATGGTCGTGTTTTAAATCACCTTGCACAGGGGAAAATGATGGTGCAAAGTAGTGGACAATCCTTGATGTGTAGGAGTCAGGTCCTGAGCTCCTTACTCAGCTGTTCCTTAGCCCTGACTTAAGGACCATTCCACTGACTTCAGATGGGGTTTAGCCACCTAAGAACTGAGCAGAAGAAGAGTAAGGAGCTCAGGAAGGATCTAGCCCTAGAGTTGTAGGACATGAGTGCCCCACTCCAGTCATTGGGCTTATCAGTTCCCAGATCTGGTGAGGCCTGTGCTGAGCCCACAGTCACATGCAGGGCTATTGACTAGGCCCCAACTCCTTGTCAGTTCATTATTCTGGTCTTGTTTTCATTTGTGTAGGGGCGCCATTTTCTCCAGCCTCCGCACTTGCTGGTTCCTTTCAGGACCAAAAGGCGAAGGGCCACAATGCTGTATGCCTGATTCTGGTCTCACTTACTTGGTTCTACACTGGGGTAACGCCACCAAATTCCATGGCATTATTCCTGATTTACACTGCTGCAAGGGAGATGAGAATCAAGGCCTGGGAGAATCAGGCTGTTTACAGTGTATTTCCAGTCAGAACAGAAGCCAGAGGTCCCGGCCCAGTTGCGCAGACTCAGGAGCCTGATTCCGATCTCTGTTACACTAGTGCAAATCAGGCGTAACGTCCATTGCAGTTACAGCAGCATAAAACCAGTGCAAGTGAGATCAGAATCAGGCCTTGGGGAACTGCAGCATCGGGATAAGGCTCTGGGATGTGGCGCACTTCTCTGCCCCTCTTGTGCTTTGCCCTCAGCTACCACGGACAGCACACAGTCGCCGGGATGCATGCCCACCTGGCAGGAGGCAGGGTCTACAGCAGAGCTCATTGTTAGGTTTGCACTTTTGGATGACTTGGCAGGACATTCCATGCTTAAGGCCCAATTCAGTTACAAATGTGTCTTGCTTCCATGACCTCACTTGAAGGGAAATGGAATGTATTTCTCACTGGACTGGCCCGGCCCAGCCGTGGGTGATCAGGTAAGCCAGAGCTCACACTCTCGGCTGTGCTTATTTGTTTCTAACCCCTCAGTAGGTGCTCAAATCCTGTGGCGATTTTGCCTCTCCTAGGCTCTATGTGATTAAAGCCTCTGGCAACTGCTAATAGGAAAATGGAGTCTGTCACCTCTAGGTCATCTGTCTGGATCTAGCCCAGGTTGGTAGCGATCACCAGGGCTGAGACCAACAGATCTTCTTGACTGCTCGGTTGGAGTGAGTCCATAGTGAACAGGCTTCCACAGCATTAAAATCCCCACCACAATCCACAATGTTCCACGCCTTTGTTCGCTGTCTCATCAGAAAAGCCAGGAACTGAATGGACCGTAGACTCAATTCCCCTCTCAGCCCAGGAGACAGACTGTGCAGAACCAGGGCAGAGCCCATAGATGGGAAGCTGGCATTGCTGCATGGCCTGGGGATAAAACCGAATGGCGTAGGTCAGTCTTTGTGGACAAACTGGAGGCAGAGAGCTAGAGTTTTAGTGGCTTTCACTGGGACAATTTACAGGGGGAAAGGGAAACGTAACTGACAATCCCGTACACAATAAGGAACCAGTTCCAATTAGCTGGTAATCTGCTCAGTTCCAAACCTGACAAATCCAAGGAACGCAGAAAAACAGGGCTTCAAAGCAAGGCTGCATGAGAATGGGCTGCCTTAGAACCAGCTGTAATGCATGCAGGGCTGAGCGCAGTGATAGAAACAAACTCTCTCTCCCCGTCACAGAAGCAAAGAAGAAATGCTCTCCTGGATACTGAGAATAAACCTAGTGGCTGCCATTTTCTCTGCCCCCGCCTTCCCAGCTGCCATATGTTCCATGAAGAAATTCTGCCGTCCCCTCTTGCCATCTTCAATGACTAAGCTGTGCCAGGTAATGCATGCACGAGGGGGAGGGGCTGGAAAGCAGGTCAGTGCCAAGCATGAGATTCTGGGGGCTGCTGGGTATGCTTTTGGATGTGGCCAGGGTAGATCTGCTGCTTGTTTCAGGTTCATTCCCAGCCTTCATGCAATTAACAGATAAATGTTTTCCTGTGAGTCACACCCACCTATCTGCAGGGCTGAGATTGAGGGCCAGTCACACACCATGGCAAATCACAGGGTCCGATCCTGGCTCCTAATGTGTGCACCTATATGCCACTGCTGGATCAACCTGCATACGCTGAAAGGTGCCTGCCTAAGTCTATAGAGGCTGGAAGGGCAGTGGACATGGTTAGAGTGGGCACGGTCTCATGAAAACCTGGGTATGCCTATGTGCTCAGCCAGTCATGCATCGCACACTTTGTTCCACCCCAGAGCAGGAATAAGATACCCAGAGGGCATGTGTTTTGGTAGCGGAGTATCCTGTTGTTACTAAAGGGTGACCGATTAGCCCACTGGTGCACATGGCCACATTCAAGGAGAACACTCAACCTGCTGGCTTCATGGCTGGTTGTTCTGGCCCCCAAATCCTTCCTTCTCAGAGAGCGTGTCACCCATTGCTCAGTGCATTTCCCAATATCTCACCATTTCCAGGGGCAAAGGGCACAACCCTATTCCCATTGACCTCCATGGCGAAACTCATGTGGATTTCAATGGAGCCAAATTGGGCCCTCAATGCCCAGTAATTGGTAACTTTTTTTGTAAAGTGCAGCCAGGAGTGGTTATCTGGTTATTTTTCAGGCAGCTTTGTTGGCTGTCCTGTGATTGGCAATCCGTGCAGCATACAGAAGTCATCTCTGCCTCTTGTGGGAATGGCATCTGAAAGATAGACCCATTTAATTTTCAAGTCAGTATCTTATAGAGCCAACGTCCGACTACATTATTGTTACTAGCACTTAAAGATGCCCATTGAGAACTAGTTTAATAATCAGATGCCATATTTTGTTCTAAGGTGATCCAGCAGGGTTTTTCCATCTGTAATGTCTAGGATCCATTTCAGAGTCATTCTTGTTGCCCCTATTCATGCTGTTTTCTTCCATCATTTGCTGCCATGGCCTTGATGCTGCATCAGCCTGTCTCCCATGTCCGTGGGCTCAGCTCTAGCCAGTCTTAACATCCTGTAGCCATTGCTGTCTAGTTCTGTCCTGCTCCCTCTGGCCCTGTGCCCATTGGGCTATTCGGAATCATGCTCTTCAGGTGGTCAGGAATTTTTTCGTTGCAAAGTGCCACCAACACCAGACCTTTCTGCGGGCAATGGGAAAGTTTCTCAGAGATGGAGGCAGCACCCCAGAACAGCCTGGTGGTCAGGGCCCGCACCTGCAATAGGAGAGACCCAGCTTCAAGTCCTCCAGCTGTCTGCTCTGGAGCAGGGACCTGAACCACGTCCCAGCTGGCTCCCTTACCTTTGGGCTATGGTGCCAGTCTCTGCTGTCCTAATGAATATTTATCAGCTATACAAAGTGGAATAGGTGAGAAAAGGAGAGACAGCAAGAGATGAGGCTGACTCTAGCCAGTGGCTAGAACGTAGGAGATGCAGGTTCAAGTCCCTCCTCGGGATCAGGCAGAACAGGCCCTTTAACATGAGTTGCCCAGCTCCCTGAGGAGTGTCTGAACCAGCTGGCCATTCCGGGGCCTCTCTCGTGTCTTTGCATGAAAAATTCCAAAAGGCCTCAGTTTGGTTCCAGTGCAGAACAAAAACAAAATGCCAAAGCTCTCCATTCCTTTGTGAACCTGAACTGGTGTTCCGGCCAGCCCTAGCCGAGAGTGACACAGACCCTTGTTAGCAGCCTGGTCCTGCCTGCAGCCACCACTCCCCCTCCATTGCCATCATCCGCCTTTCTGCTCTGTGAAACCATCCCTGGGGTTCTTGGGCCTTTGCTCCTGGTATGGTGCCAATCAGAGTAACTAAACTCTCGCAGACTTTACCAGTGATCTTCCTCCCTGAACTGAAACCAGCACATTACTTCTGCCTGCAGGATCCTGTTCAGTGCTGCAAGCGCCAGCCCACGAAGGAGCTGAGGCGGCTCCAAACTCCCATCTCATCAGGGATTAGAGCCCCAGGGAGAAAGTGGAGCAGCTGATCTGGGTAAACTGGTTCAGTGGTCTGGCAATGCCGGGAGGCAGTGCTGCTGGAAAATGCTCAGCTACTCCCGGGGCAGGTATCTGCTCTCTGAAATGTGCTTTTATAAGAAGCAGATATCATGTAGCTGGCACTGCTCTACAGAGAATACACACTGTAGCATTGTATAGGGCTCTCCAGTGAGCAGCGAATACAACACAAACACACCTCAGCAGCAAGGAGACAGAGCAATAATCTGGCCTCTACAGGAGTGAGCCCCCCGGAGGGGGATATCACCTTTAGCCAATGAGATACCATGTCACAAGGACAGATATCCTGCAGCTCAGAGGGGGCTGCCTAGTTCTGCTGAAGGAGCAAGACACAGGCAGCTCCTTGATGGATGCCAGGAGCCTAAATCCCATTGAGGAGCTGGACCTCAGTTCAGGAAACACAGTCCGTTCTGGATAGGTGTTAAATGACACGGCCCAGTTCACGTTTGCATTACAGAGGTAGAGTAATGATCGATGGGTTTTGATCCTCCTCAGGGGCCCAAATTTTGGCTGCTACTTCTCAGGTGAATTTGGGAATTGAATGCATTAATTTGGCTCCAGGACTGAGCACAAGCCCAACTCCAGCTGGATGTTGCACGTCCTTGAAAAGAAGAATCCCACGTCTGCAATCTGGCATTGCCCTTGTTTTTGCATATTAGTACATCTGAACAGTTGACTTGCTTCTCTCCACAGGAGGAACAGCTGAGGTCCCATGAAAATAAGATGAAGCAGATTGCAGATGAACTAACAGAGCATAAATTACATCCTGTAGAGAAAAGCCTCAAGTCAAAAGAGGCTGAAGAATATAGGCTGAAAGAGCATTACCTAATATTCGAGGTAAGGGAGCTTTCATCTTTCTTGTGATAAATGAGTCCTTGGACAAATCTGATGGGAGTTGATAAGCCTGGTATAGCTACTGTGTGTGTCTGTGTGCGTGTGTCTGTGTGCGTGTGTGTGCAGGGGTCTGTGTGTATTTGTATGGGTGTGCATGTGTGTGTGTATGTGTGTCTGTGTGGGAGGGTCTGTGTGCATGTGTCTGTGTGCGTGTGTGTGGAGGGGTCTGTGTGTGTCTGTCTGTGTGCATTTGTATGGGTATGCATGTGTGGGGGTCTGTGTATGTGTGCGTCTGTGTCTGTGTGTGTGTGCATGTGTCTGCATGTATCTGGGTGTGTGTCTGTGTGTGCATGCGTGTCTGTGTCTGTGTGTATGTGTGCGCGTGCTCAGCAAGGCCCGTGGAGACAGGCAGGGCAGTATATACTGATGGCAATGTTCTTCTTTTGTGCACTGAAATTTAAAACAAACGATTTTCTTTATTAATTTTCAAAACTGACAAAAAAGAGAGAAATCAAACCCCAGCCTACTGTCCTGGCACCTGAACTGTCCCTCTGTCCTGCAGGAAGGAGATGGGCAGACCCTCTGTCTGGACCAGAGTGGGGGCTAAGGTTGGCTTTAAGAAACCTGTACAGACCCCCAGTCCTGGGTCTAACTGGTCTCACTTACACTAACTGCCAGCAGTTCCAGGGGACCAGTCAATAGTTGGGTATAGAAAAACCATGGTCACGCCCCACTCCACCAGCCAGACACCCTACATTTGACAGGAGGAGTGGCACAAGAGCTGCTACAAGGATTCCAGGCTACCTACAAATTCTGCAATCTTGGAAGAGCACACAGAGAGCCAGAGCTTCCAGCTTTACTGGGTGTGACCCGAGATTACCCAGGAAGTCAGTGTCAGAACCAGGACCAGAATCCAGGTCTCTTAGCCTTGTGTACAATCTATTAGACCCACAATCACAAACAGAATGTCGGTTGCCTCAGTGGAAAAGGACACACTTCCTTGTTGGCAAAAATGGCTTAAACCAGTGGTTCTCAACCTTTCCAGATGACTGTACCCCTTTCAGGAGTCTGATTTGTCTTGTATATCCCCAAATTTCACCTCACTGAAAAACTACTTGCTTACAAAATTAGACTTAAAAATACAAAAGTGTCACAGCTCACTACTACTGAAACATTGTTGGCTTTCTCATTTTACAATGTAATTATAAAATACATCCATTGAAATACAAATATTGTACTTGCTTGTCAGTGTATAGTATATAGAGCAGTATAAACAGGTCATTATCTGCATCTGAAGAAGTGGGGTTTTTTACTCACAAAAGCTTACAAAAACTGTTAGTCTTTAAGGTGCCACTGGACTCCTCATTTTTTTTATGGATACAGACTAACAAGGCTACCCCTCTGATAATTGTTTGTATGAAATTTTAATATGTACTGACTTCGTTAGTGCTTTATTTGTGGTCTATTGTAAAATGAGGCAAATATCTAGATGAGTTGGTGTACTCCCTAGAAGACCTCTTCATATCCCATGGTTGAGAACCACTAACTTAAACCTCTCACCTACGCTGCTGGGTTCTGAAATGCAGGGTTCTCTAAGAAAAAGTATCTGGGCATAGGTCCAGTAAGGAAAACCCTGATGGATGGAGCCACATGTGTCAGTAACTAAAGATGCCCAAAGGGGGATTGGGGTAGAAAATACCGAGCACTTGAGAGTGACATTAGAGTGAAGAATGGCCCATCCTCATCTGAACTTCACCCCTATGCAGAGAGCCAGCGCCGTGTATCAGTTAACTCATCAAACAAGGGAATGTCACCCTGGGAGCATGGCGCTCCAGTCTGGGCAGCTCGCAGAGGTTATGAAGATCCAGCAAAAGCAGTGAAGATGGTGCAGCAGGACCTACACGTTACAAGGAACTGCAAAAACTGACCTAATCTAGCCTTGAAATTAAATATGAAGCACAAAAGGAAAATGGAGCAGTCCCTCCTTTTTATACTAATATGAGAATAAGCCACTATTTAAGGGTAATCATGAACCAGTTAATGGCACACAGCTAAATCTAAAATCATATTAGAGCTAATACTTCCTCCTACAGATTGTAGTTACCATCACAAGTCTTAGAGTCAAACACTGTTATGGTTACTGGATAATTTTACTGCAGTGTTGGTGTATTTACCTATGGGTAGGTGAAGGCTTATTGCACATTGGTCACAGAATAAGCATATTGCTATTAGCAATGATCCCACTCTTTGCTTTGATTCCCACTTTGCTTGTATGCCACAAGGTTGAGTCAATCCATGTCGTTCCCCTGCCTGAAAGCAAATGGGTTCGCCTGGTGCATTGTTGTATGCCGGTGATAGATGATTGCCCCAGCTTGTTCTTGGATACCTTCAGTGTTCTCAGCATATCTTTGCCCCACTCCTTCCCTATTACCCAGCTGTTTGTCCTGTTCTGTTTCCCTCTGCAGAAGAGCCGCTACGAGACGTACATTAACTTGCTGTGCGTGAAGATAAAAGTTGGAACAGATGATCTGGAGAAAATCGAAGCCAGCCTTTTCATGGTGGAGGCTGATGACATCTCCTTGCGGAAGACACATTCAAGCCCTTCCCTGAGCCAGGGACACTTGTCTGTACACAGCAAGGTGGAAAAGGACGTTATAGAGCAGAACACTTAACAGGTAACGCTAGTGCGGGCGAAACCAATCAGTGAGGCTTAGTACTCCTTGACTAGATCGATGAGCACAATTATACCTAGGAAATCATATGAACAAAACCGGTAGACATACAAGACGTGGTTTCTGATCCAGCGGAAGAAATCAAAGAAGCTTTAGTTTACACTTTGCTAATTTTTTTCCAGTGCCCTGACATTTCAGTGTCATTGACTCTCTACTTTCTCTTCACATCTGTTACCCCCTTCAGTGTTTCTTTTACTCCTGCTCCCTGTGTGCATGCAATAAAGGGACACATTCTTTGTACAAGGGCTGGGATGCTCATTCTCAAGCAGCTCTCCCCTACGTCACTGGAGTTCCCAGACTCCTGCAGTTTCTGGCAACATGGAGACACAACCAGTTCTTGGAGTCTAGAATCTGTTCCTTTTTAACAACCAGCAGCAGGTCTGCAGCACCAGCAGCACTTACAATGAAACAGCAGGAAGAAACACAACATCAAGGAGCAAAATTCTCCATATTGCAATAATACAGGTTCGGCGGGATATTTACTGAGAATCAAAAAGTGTTATTACCATGGATGTGCAAAAAGTGATCTGTGCATGGCAATAGTGATATCCCGGGCACTATTGCTTGGTTTTTATACATATAAATATATATAAATAAATATATATAAGTAATCTTTAAAAGGGTTTTGAAACTGGATGTCTAAGTCCAACACTGCGAAGGCAAGATGGCTGGGAAGCATCGTCAGGAAGGCAATTCGAGAATACAGGGGGCTTCATAACATAGCAGAATGTTTTTAAAAATGCAGTCGCCTCTGTTTCTTTTTCGTTTTGCAATGAAGTTCCATATGGCTTTGCTGTGCCACACTGCGCTACTGTTGACGCTTATTAAACTTAAATAGCTGACCCACTGCTTCTTTTGTGTCCATAACTTCAGCAGCTTTGGATGGAGGCCCCATCTGAGCAGCAGTCCTGCAGATACAAGCTTCGCTACGTGACTGGGGCAGGTGGGAAACCTATCTCCTGTCCACTTGTATTGTACTGAACTCCATTTTGCTGAGCATACTGTACTCTTTCAACGGGATATTGTGTTTCTGTTTCATTCTGTTGTCTGTGGTCCAATTATTTGCTGTTGTAATAGAGATGATTCCACTGCATTTCAAAGGCCATGGCACTTTATTTATTTATTTTCATTTCGTTTTCCAGGCATGTTCACAGGAACCAAGTTCCGGTTTTAAAGGATCTTGTAGCTGCTAATTACAGTAATTTACAGTTTCTATTTTTGCAGCTTTTTTTTAAGGAAAAAAAAGAGATTTGTTTGGACTCTTGTCAACTTTTGAGAGTTTATAGACTATTGAGTTTCCATAATGTTTCTTACCACTTAAAAAGCCCCCACCCAATTTTACCTCTTCTTTTACCTCACCTCTTCTTTTGGTCTCTTTGTTTCTTTGTACAGTTTGATAGTTTCTTTGAAAGGATGCACTAAGAATCATGTCAAACAAAGAAATAATAATAAAGCTGAATCTGTTGAGAAAGAGAATTGGTCTGAAATAACATTCTCACTCAGGCTCATAGTGTGTAATGATTTCCAGTGTCTTCCCGGGTACTGAATTCTTGAATTTAGATATAATTACATGGTCACACGCAGAAGTGTCACCGCTCTAGACTTAAACTCCACTTGTTTAGATGAAATTCTGGCCCCATTTAAATCCATGGCAAAAGTCCCATGGCTTCAAAGGAGCCAGATTTTCTGCCTAGGTGTTTCCTCCTGGGGTGAACAATGGGATCATTAGCCTATCTCCTGAATAGGATGCCCCATCAGTGCTAGGGAGGAAGGGTGTCCATTTAATATGATCAACCTATGCTTTCGTCACTTCGCAAGTCCCAGTTCCCTCTGCAGACATGTAGATATCTATAGGGGTCAGCGAGACTTGAACAGCTGCATTTTCTGTGGATTCAGAACTGGCTGCATGTTTGATGGCAGCTCTGTGGCCCATGCCTATCCCTGTGCGAATCAAGTGGCTGCATTATTATTATTTATTATTGGTGCCTAGAGACCCTTACCAAGATTAGGGCCAGGAGTGGCCCGCGTTATTTTGCCAGCCAGGGTGGGAAATGTTTTCAGCGCCCTGCAAAAGCCCAACCAATCAGTGAAGCAAAACCAGCCAACCAATCAGAATGGAGGCGGGGGGGGGGAACCCCAAACCCTGGAAGGAGGCACCCAGGGTGCCTTACCTGCTCACCCAGCCTTAGAACTGGCCTTTTTAGGGCCGCTGCGTGCTAGGCATCATACAATCACATAGGGAAAGACAGCCCTTGCACTGAAGAGCCTGTGTCTAAAAAGACAGGACAGTTTCAGGAAGTGTCATCACCCTCATTTTATGGATGGAGGCACAGAGAGATTTTCTGACCTGTCCAGTGTCACGGAAAATCTGTGGGGATCCAGGAACTGAAGCCAAATCTCCTGAGTCCCAGTGCAATGCCTCTCATGAATGGCACATCCTGTGCATCTCCCAGCAGGAGGCATGTGGCTGCATCCCATGCATGGCCTAGTAAGCATCACACATGGTAGCTAAATCACATGCATTTCCAGGGAGTCATGTGCCATAGCTAAATTTCTGTGCATTGGCCAGGTTTGTGCAAAATCCCTTGCAACAGTGAAGATGCAAGGGTGATGGGTCCATACAATCTGCTCATCTGCCCCTATCTTTTTGTGGGGGAAGTGATGGGGGAAGGTTTGCTGATGAAACCAAAAACCATCACAGAATAAAACAGCCCTGCAGGCTGCCCGCAGTGCCCTGGAATTTCACCGGGCAGGAGCCTAGAGGTGCTCTAGCTGGTGATGGGCAAACATACTCCACCTCAATTCAGCTCCATCCTTGTCCCAGTGACCTATAAGGAGGGAGCCATCATAAGGGTAATGTTGCTATCTAGCTAGCTGAGGGCCCCCGCCCCTCACATCTGGCTCAGATGTCCACTCGTCCCACAAGACGTAGCAAAGTTTATAAGAACTGTGAAGGGAGCTCAGCTGGGTAGGAAGAAGCTGACGGCTTAATGCATCCTCAACCTGGGAGTGATGACAGGTGTGAACAGGTTTTGCAGGCGGGGGGTGTTAATCATCCTACCTGTCTTACCTGTCCATTGGAAAAAAATGTTTCTAGCCCCTATACTTGTGGTGAGAACCTTGAAAGCGTGAACTAAGCATAGACCAATGCAGCACTGCCTTCCTGGCTGCAGACAGCCTGAAACGACAGCTCAGGAGTCCTCCTCATGCGGGTTGTGGTTCCCAGAGGGGTGACAAGCAGGTATCAGGGGGTCATGACTGCCCCACTGCAATTATGTCTCCCTCTAGTGACTGGCCCCAGGGAGGATAAAAACCTGCTTGTTTCTGACAACTACTGGAGTTAATCCTTTAGTTGGAGCATGTGAGGCTGATGCTGCAGGTACTGGGTTCACGCCCCACTGGAGAGTTTATATATATATACACTCACACGTATGCACACAGCCATGGTTTAGTTTCTAGCCCACCTGGAGATGGCCCCAGGTGATACTTGGAGATGTTACTGCCTGCCTCAGAATGTCCGTATGTCGTAAACGCTGTTATTTCGGCATGACCCTTGTCATAGAATCATAGAATATCAGGGTTGGAAGGGACCTCAGGAGGTCATCTAGTCCAACCCCCTGCTCGAAGCAGGACCGATCCCCAATTAAATCATCCCAGCCAGGGCTTTGTCAAGCCTGACCTTAAAAACTTCTAAGGAAGGAGATTCCACCATCTCCCTAGGTAACACATTCCAGTGTTTCACCACCCTCCTAGTGAAAAAGTTTTTCCTAATATCCAACCTAAATCTCCCCCACTGCAACTTGAGACCATTACTGCTTGTTCTGTCATCTGCTACCACTGAGAACAGTCTAGAGCCATTCTCTTTGGAACCCCCTTTCAGGTAGCTGAAAGCAGCTATCAGATGTCCCCTCATTCTTCTCTTCCGTAGACTAAACATCCCCAGTTCCCTCAGTCTCTCCTCAGAACTCATGTGTTCCAGTCCCCTAATCATTTTTGTTGCCCTCCGCTGGATTCTTTCCAATTTTTCCACATCTTTCTTGTAGTGTGGGGCCCAAAACTGGACACAGTACTCCAGATGAGGCCTCACCAATGTCGAATAGAGGGGACCGATCACGCCCCTCGATCTGCTGGCAATGCCCCTACTTATACATCCCAAAATGCCATTGGCCTTCTTGGCAACAAGGGCACACTGTTGACTCATATCCAGCTTCTCGTCCACTGTAACACCTAGGTCCTTTTCTGCAGAACTGCTACCGAGCCATTCGGTCCCTAGTCTGTAGGGGTGCATTGGATTCTTTCATCCTAAGTGCAGGACTCTGCACTTGTCCTTGTTGAACCTCATCAGATTTCTTTTGGCCCAATCCTCTAATTTGTCTAGGTCCCTCTGTATCCTATCCCTACCCTCCAGCGTATCTACCACTCCTCCCAGTTTAGTGTCATCTGCAAACTTGCTGAGGGTGCAATCCACACCATCCTCCAGATCATTTATGAAGATATTGAACAAAACCGGCCCCAGGACTGACCCTTGGGGCACTCCACTTGATACCGGCTGCCAACTAGACATGGAGCCATTGATCACTACCTGTTGAGCCTGACAATCTAGCCAGCTTTCTATCCACCTTATAGTCCATTCATCCAGCCCATACTTCTTTAACTTGTTGGCATCCTCCCCACTCCTGTATACTAGCGTCTGGCTGTCTCCTATCTGCCCTGGCAGTGCCCTTTCTGTCCTGGGCATATTCCTCCAAGATGCTGGTCAGTTGCAGTGTTTTCCTGGGCTGTTGCTTTGACTCTGCACACCTTCCCAGGGCCTCTGGAGTTGAATCTACTCTTTTCTCACTCTCGCGCTCTCCTCATCCCTGTTGTTTTTTTCTTTTTCTTGGGCTTGCTCAGTCTTCCCAGATAATGCAATCCCTGTTCTCTGATCCTGTTCCCAGCAAGCATTCCCAGGCACCCACTTTGCCAGGTTCTGAATTGCTTCCTTCTCCAACGCCTTTCTTCTGCTTCTCCCTCCACCCCAGGATAAATGAGCACGCGCTCTGCCTCAGCTGCAGGGCCCTGGAACGCAGGCTGCTGTTCCCAGACTCGCTGGCACCAAGGAACCTGCATCTCCCTACACACCCATGCTCTCACACACCCCAGCCCTGACTTTCCAAGGCAGCCTGGCCAAGGGAGGAAGTCAATTCTCTTTGCAGTGAACGCAAGGGCCATGCCCTTCAGTAACTCAGTACAAGCAGTCACAGTGCCAGGCTGCTGGAACGCCAGCACATCTAAGTGCAGCTCTCTGCCTTGCTCAGGTGCTGAACGCGTGCGACCGGCCGCCTCACTTCAGCGCTCCCATAGGCCGCTGGGTTTCGGCTGCAGCTTGACGGCGCCTCCTGTGCAGAGCTGTACCTGGCACAGCAGGGCTTTTCACTGATCCCGTCTTACTGGCGCTTTCCCACAAGTCTCCTTCTGCCCCAGAAACTGCAGTGAGCCTGGTGTGGCTGGTCAGTAGGGCTGATGGGGCTCAGCCCAGCCTGGCCTTTCACAGCTGGGCAGTATGGCTGGGTGCAGTACTCACTTTGGGGGGGGGCTCCTGATGGGGCTGGTGCTGCTCCAGGAACAGGCCCTGACCCCACTCCACCCTCTCCCCTGAGCCTACACTGCCCTCGCTCCTCCCCTCTCCCCCCAGAGCCTCCTGCACGCCATGAAGCAGCTGCTTGGGATGTGCAGGGAGGGAGGGGGAGGTGTTGATCGGCGGGGCTGCTGGTGGGTGAGAGGCTCCGGGGGTGCTGATGGGGGGGCTATTACAGTATTACTGTGGCTCTTTGGCAATGTACATTGGTAAATTGTGGCTCCTTCTCAGGCTCAGGTTGGCCACCCGTGTCTTAGGCCCAGATTTAGCCATTGCTGTGTTCATTAGTGGAACACCTAAAGGCTTTAGGAGCCGGAGGGCAGGGCTACATTTGAAATGCTGCAGCAGAGCCGCTGTAGCGCATAAGCAAAGCTCCCATCAGCGGAGAAGCAGCTTCACTTAAGCCACATCTCCCATCGCCATGGCGCTGTTTACACGGAGGAGAGCTCTGCATAACTACGTCGCCGGGGGCGTGGGGGGGGTGTTTTCACCTTCTGTCCCAGTGCACCAGCCAGAGCAACTGAGCCCCTGTGTGTGTGGGTGTGAATGCATGTCTGTGTGTGTGCACGCATGTGTGGGTGTGTGCGTGCATGAAGGGGGTGAGGGGAGCTGTAGTCTAGTTTGCTGTTCATAAACTAGATTGTGGCTTTGCCACACGCCGTTGCTGTACTGCCCCAGATGCTGCTCAGGGAAAGACCTGGGCTCCTGGAAAGACCACGTCTTCTCCCTGCTTCCCACTGGATCCAGGAGGGCAGCAGCTAGTGCTGGCTATACACCACTGCACGTTGGCAAGGAGCAGGGGGCAGAACAGAAGAACGGCCATACTGGGTCAGACTAAAGGTCCATTTAGCCCCATGTC